TGCGCATGTGCCGTGCGAATGCGTGCGGGTGTGCGTGTGGGTGTGTGGGTGTGGGTGTGTGTGTCTGTGTATACGTTGGTCGGCCTGTCTGTTGGTGTGTCTGTGTGTGTGTTTGCGTGTCCGTGTGTCTTTGCGTTTGTGTGTCTGCGTGTCTGTGTGCCTGTGTGTCTACGTGTCTTTGTGTCTGTGTGGTTGTGCGTGTCTGTGTATCTGTGTGTCTGTGTGTCTGTGCGTGTGTGTGCATGTCACTGTCGTGTGTGTGTGTGTGTGCGTGCGTCTGTGTGTGTGTGTGTCTGTCTGTCTCCCTGTGTCTGTGTGTGCGCGCGTGTCTCTCTCTCTCTCTTTCTCTCTCTCTCTCTCTGCCTCTGTGTCTGTCTCTGTGTGTGCGCTTGAGTCTATCTGTCTGTCTGTGTGTCTGCAACTGTCAGAGTCACCGTCAGTTTCATGTCCCCTGAGGCACCCCGCGGATGCTTGCAAGCTTTTTGGCATCAATGTTGAGCGCGAAAACGCAGTCCTCCAAGGATGGAGTCATGGTTTTAGTTCGCACAACTGCGAAAGGACAACGCACAGGCCCAAAACCTGTGTCCGCGGGTCGAGACCAGAACTCCTTGGGAAACGTCCAAAGCTCTTCTGGCGGTGTTTCACCAACCACCAGCGGATAGTTGGCTACCTGCACCAAACTGGACCCCGCGCATGGCGCTAAAGAAAGCAGCTTTCGTTTGAGTCAACGGAGCCAGATCCCAAGATCTCGATGGCAAGGTTGCATGGCTCTGACTGGTAGCAATGAATTCAAGCCAAAAACCGGTCAATCAGTCTGTGCCGCTTGCCAGTTCTGGTGCCTTGTAGCCTCTCTGAGCCATGAAGAAGGACAAAGGCGTCTTGCCTGAGGCGACTGCTTTAGACACACTGCTCCAGTATCTTGAGTACCTCTTGAGTGCCTCCAGTGCCATGAAACTCGTGAGTCAATGGGTAGAAGGGTAGAACCAATACTCCCACAATATGAGTTGTTTCAAATCCTCAGCCATGAACGGTGCCAAGTGCGCCCGACCAAGGGTAAGCTCTGTTGGAGTGCTCAGTGCTCTGACACAAAAGGAAAGTGAGAGGGAAAGAGAGATAGACAAAGCGAGGCAGAGAGAAACAGAGGGGGAGAGCCAGGCACAGGGGAAGAAACAGAGAGAGCGAGAGAGACAGGGAGAGAGAGAGAGAGAGAAACACACAGATCCAGCAATACGATGAAAGCAAGTCACCACTCCGAGAAGGCCCGATGATCATTATGTCGGCCTGTGGTGCCAAGCAAGGGTGTGTGAGAGAACGCGTATGATGCCTCTGCCCAACGGTGAGGATGCACACCGTCATCGAAAAGCCGAGTATACTCGATGCACTCAACCAGCTTCATGTAATTCCTGAGCGCAATACTCGCGCGCATTCATGCCGTGCAGCCAGTCATGAAGATCACACTGGCAACCGAGAAAGAGCGCCGGGCTCATCCGCAAACTGGCGCCGGCCTGATGCGTCTCTTTGGAGGGTGCCCGTTTTGCGGATTGAAAAGGCAGACAAGCCACCAAATTTTCAGGGGCTGCCCATAAGACAAACTATCCCTTGCCTGGTACACCAAGGCGGCTGGCATCGAAATAGCCTGCGGTTTTGAGATCATGCTCAGCTTCAGAAGTCAGTTGGGAAGTGCCTTCCAGCTTTTCTAGCAATGGACTCCAAAGGTCATGGCATTTCACGCTGTACCTGGGCATGAATGGTGTGGGAGCAAAAAAAATACAGGTGCATCCAAGCTGCAAGTCTTTGAACCCTACGTGTGTCTCATAAGCGCCATAATTTTGATGAGCGGTTGATGCAATTCTGACACCACGTCGGCACCGGGAGACTTTTCAGATCAGCTCCTGTCACTGCACTTCTACGCTAGGCACTAAGGTCAACGAAGCTGACTGATCAAGTCTCAGGCTTTTCCCGATTAAGCCAGAACGCTATGCAGGTGCCGAGGGGGAGCTCTTGCGAAACTGAGAAGGTTAAGTAAATGGATCTCAACGTTGCTTGCGTTGTTGACACAAGACTAGCTGGAACGGGCACGCTTTGTTAGGGTCTCTACATGCCCTTGATTTGGCACAGCTTCTGAGCTGCCAGCTCTTCACAGTACTTTTCCAAGAGCACGTTCGCCACCGGATCAACCTTCAGATATGTGCGTTGGGCCGTTGGCCAAGGCCAAAGGGTTCTCTCAGTCTCAGTGCCGAGCCAGCGTAAACAGAACAAAGGCGCCACGCTGCTTGGCCTGGCAAGCAATGTCCTGAGGGCCAAATCTCCGGCTCTTGACCCTGCAGCTTTGAGATGATCAAAGCCATGCTAGTCATGCGCGAAGTGCAAAAATGACGTGTTTTGATCTGGTGATCTGCAGCGTCGCGAAACCAGCATGTGCCATTGGTCCTCCATCATGCTTGAGGTGGCAAATCGAAAGGTGGTGATTTCCGCTTGACCTTCGCTCAAGCGCATCGCAGCACAAACGATGTCCCATGTCAGGCTCCCGCAGTTCCTCTCAAAGCAGTGCCCAAACCTCAACTCAACAGCTTCTAAGCTGAAAATATCACCCATATTCGTCATGGTCAAACTCCGGTGGGTGGCCGTGGTTCCTTAGAAATTCTTATCCAAAACCCCCGAGAGGTTGATGACCATCAATACCAACCCCGAGTAAAAGGGTCTTGTGGCCATGGCACGTATGGACTCCACTGAAAAATGGGTATGGTCAAAATTAAACAACCAGGGGACCGCAGGTTTTAGTCCATGTTTCCATTTACCAGGGTTCCATTTTGGGGACGTATTCTTGACCCACAGCCAAATGACTCGTTCCACCGATCAGAACATTGGACCGAGGTAGGCACTGCCCCAGGGCACACCGAACGGTTCGTTCAGCCGACTCTCCGGTGCAATCGGACCTGCCCGAAGCGACACGGGCAAACGGGGTCTCGACGGGAATCCCGGTGTTCCTGGAAACTGGAAACTTTGGGTGGCGAAATTCCAGGAAAACGATCAACCATATTGTCAGTGACCGCACAACTGAACAGATTGCGTCAGCTGCTGCTCATCATTTGCGCTTGCTGCTCTTGCTCTCCGGGCGTGCTTGTTGGGGCCTCCACATGGCATATGGAACCCATATGGAGTGACTTCTTCCGGAAAGAACCTTTGATGCTTTCCGCCTGCCTTCCCTTAAGCACTCCGCAAAAAAAGGTCTGTTTCCCCAGTCCCTTAAGCACTCCCAAAAAGAAACGGTGTGCTTCCCCACTAGGCGGGAGATCCTCTTCGTGGCATCGAATGCATCGCTCTGAGGCATCGGCACCACGAAGACTGGCTTGGCCTACTCTGTGGATTTATTCAAATTTATTAAAAATTTCCAAAATTTGTTGAAATTTGCACAAAAGGTAGTTTCAACATGGGTGGGGAAGCATCCCAGAAACCTACATTAGCGAAGCCCATGACCAACCCTCTTTCGACCATGGAACATCTCAGGTCCCTTCAACCTCCCCATGGAAACTCAAAGCCTGGGCGTTCTAGCAGACGTCTTGAGATCTGTAGCAGTCTGACGAAAGAGACAGGCATGCGTTGGGATTCCAGATGCAAGTTGTCAATGGGAGATTTCATTCAGGATTTGTTGTTGTCCACTCCTGGTGCTAAAATGCTGTATCGTCAGCATTCCAAAATAACATGCACTCGTTTTGCAACAGCACTGTCAACGGCATCATTTGAACAGCCCCAGCATCGTTTTCAACACCCTCGGCATCACCAGTGGTTTGGAGGTTTAGCGGAGTTTATGGCTAGTTTGCAGTTTGCTTGTGCTTAGGGTTGGTTTACGGGGTGGGTTTAGGGCTACTTTAGAGTTGGTCTGGGGGGTGGTTTATTGCTGGTTTAGAGTGGAGTTGGATGGGTTGAGGGTGGCTTTAGGATTGGATAGGACGAGTGAAAGGTTTCTTTAATTGGGGCTTCTGGGTGGGTTTAGCGCGGGTTTAGGTTTGGTTAGGGGCTGATTTGGATTTCGTGGTGCCATAAGGTGAACCCGCCGCCGACATTGTTTGGCGTGTCGGATACCTAAGAAAAGATTCCCCCCCCGGACACGTCAATTACGCAGGCTTCCCCCCCTCCCCCACGTACCGCGCGGCGATTTGATGACATTCCACTAAACGTAGTCTTCGGGGAGCCGGTGTCGCAAAACAGGGGTCAGGCTCGATTCCCCCTGCCGGCTTTTTGCTGGTTTGGGTTTCCTGCTTGCTTTTGCAGAAAATATGGAAAAACTCTGTGTTTTTGGATGTCCTCTTTGCGAAAACGCTGGAAAAACCGTGTTGTTTGTTGAAAATACTGGGGAGCCAAGGGGAAATGCAAGGAAGTGCAAGGAAAAATCTGGAAAAACTCGTTGTTTTTGGACGTCCTCTTTGCGCAAACGCTGAAAAAACAGTGTTTTTTTGCGGGAAATACTGGGGAGCAAAGGGGAAATGCAAGGAAGTGCAAGGAAATGAGGGGAGGAAATAGGAAGTCCACATGTCAGGAAAGCAACGGGAAATGAAAGGGAGACAAAGGGGAAGTGAAAGGGACATGACAGGGACAGACATGAAAAAAAGGGGAGTGCAGGGGGAATGACAGGGAAACAAAGCGCAATGAAACCAATCGGCACGACGGGAGATGTAGGGAAATGACTCGCAACGAAAGAACAGGACATACATGGAAAATGACGCGGACATACCGAGAAAATGTCAGGGACATGAAGGGCGAGTTGAAAGGAATGGAAGGGACATGACCAGGACAGGACGGGAAACGTGAAAAGGAAATCAAGGGGAAAGCCAGTAGTGAGATGACAGTTCAGGGTCATGAAAAAACACTGCCGGGATATCGAGGCAACTCAGGGGGGACGTGACGCTGCAATGCAGAGAGGGAGAGAGAGAGAGAGAGAGAGAGAGAGAGAGAGAGAGAGAGGGACAGAGAGAGAGAGAGAGAAAGAAAGAGAGAGAGAG